CGAAAGAAAGATCTACTAGATATTAATTAAATTATAAATATATCAATTCATGTGAATATGACTGAAAAATTTCATTTTTTCTGAAAAGGTGGTGTCTATTTACTATTTACGAAATCCACAATTTTTGTGCTTTTGAGGATTAAATGATATACAAATTATTGTTTTCAGCAAATCTGAGTTTTATAAACTTCACAAAGGCGATCTAAGTTAATATTTTGTTTTTGAAGTGTTATTTCTTATATAATTTATTTCATAGAGACACTCCTTGGATATTGTGGTATTTGTATAAATCGGCTTGGTCTAACTTGTTTTTGATCCATGTTCCACATTTGAAATTAATTAAACATTTGACATATGCTATCCTTAACAAAGCTTTAGCTATTGTGAATCTACTATGGATGACATACTAAAGTTTAATAATAGTGTTGCGTCAGCGAGGTCACGTGACTAGTGTCACGCCACCTGCTTTCTAGAACTATCCCGTTCCTTCGGGAGTGCTCTAGCATTTACTAGATTGGGGGGTGGTCTTATATGTATAAGATGGTCACGGCGTGACGTGACAATGTGTGTGTAGACAGTGAGTAATTGATCTGCAGTCAGAGATTATTATTGAAGTTGAGCACGTTCGTTGTTATAGCGTTTGTTTTAGCGCGATTGTTGAAATTAAGTGTATCGTAAAGTTATATTCGGAAAGAATAAACCAGTTTTATTAAGTAAGGACTTGTGTCGCTAAAGTTTCGTCGGAACGAATTTACGGGAAATCAATTAACAAACGGAGACGTAACAATAGCAATTGCTCTTGTACTTTTTCTTGACTTTCTCAGTAGGAGATTGTGGAAAGAATGTTACTTTCAAATGAATTTATTTTATAATTTCTTTGATGGCAATTGTTTTTTGTTTTTTTGTTTTCTTTCAATCACTTATACCTGTTTTTAAATTGCTGTACTTATTTCATTAAAATATGTTTGTACAACTTAAATATTTCTAATGTTTTCATACTATGGTTAGTAATAGTTTTGTATTTAGCGTGTCAAACCACGAATCTAAGGTTCCAGGATCAAGAAACTATGTTGCTGAATATACTTCGTACTATCAGTTGAAATCCTTGTAACAGCGGTTTATACTGATTGACTGTGATCAAAATTAAGGACGACTATAACTCAACTATACATGTTTATGACCTGTCCGTTTATCTCACGTAGGATAAACGGGTTGGATATTCTAATGAGAAATATTTGATGCTTATTTTCTGGATGATGAATTATTGGGTAGAGAAATTTAAAATGTTTCTATACGCTGCTAGCACCGATACCATTAAAAAAAACTACAACTTGATTGTATAAAATCTCAAAACTGTAAATTCTTCGAAGAATGACTAAATGATTCATGTTAATAGCATTGTTTGTAGCACAAAGCTACATAATGGGTTATCTATGCTCTGCCCACCACGTGTATTGAAAGCCGGTAAATATAGGGTTGTAAGTACATAGACATACCCCCCGTGCCACTTGGGGGCAACATTATTATAAAATAAGTTAACCACAGATGTTCGTTTGATTTGTTTTTTACACATTTATTTTAATTTATCCATTGCAGTTCGATATCAGGAGCATGTAAAAGATGGTAATTGAGATTTATTTTTTGCCTACCACAAGTCATTGCCTAATACAGTTAACTTATTTTTATAACAATATTTAAGCCTATTGATTTTCCAATATTTCGCTGGCTTTCTATGTTTAATTAAGCTATAACTTTTAAGAATAGCAATATCATCACCATTTTTTGTTGATATTGGTTAAATGCCCTCTATATGCCATACAAATTCAACTGTAATGTCTGCTGTGGAGGGTGTGGATTAATTGGGAAAGAAAGAACGGCATGTTTATTGGGTTACAAGGAGATTGAAACAAATGTGTATTCATTTTTTTAATTGTATCTTATAATACGGCGTTCAAAAAATGATTTTGAAATAATGAATATCCAAAAGAAGAAAGTTACTGAAAACCAAACATTTAAATCATACGTTAATTTTGAGTCCGGTCAGGAAAGTAAAGTTAATACTACTACTAATACTAATGATACGGGTATTAGTACGTGTAGGCCCAGTACTAGTAGTAGTACTGATGAAAACGATTTTTCAGATGACATGTACCTCGGTAATTTATCAGTAATCCTACCGCCGGTAAGTCGTAGTTTAATTTATTGAATTAAATCGGTCTTTAAATTAATAACTTTAATATATTTCTTTATTCATATTAACTTTTATTTTTAACTAAATACAACAGGGGACCTGTTTCCATGTTGGTATTTTTTTTATTTTACTTTTAGAATAATAATAAAACTTATCATTTAAGTATTTATCAAGTTTCCTCCTAATTTCCCATAAGCTCATCCATCACATTTGAAGGCAACCCAAAGGCAAACACCCTGATATCAAAATAAAGCTGGCTCATTCTGAGCATAAGATGACTCCTACGTTTAGAAAGGACATTAAAATTCCTTGGAAACAATTCAGAGGAAGCTACTAGGACAGGTTATCATATGAGGATAGATCTCTAAAAAAAATTTTCTTGAAAAAAGGAGAGTTAGGCTTGATCTGACTGGGTGTTTAAGGTTAAGGGGACTGATATAGTTTTGATGCATCATCTTTTTTTCATCTTTAATGGTAAGAATGGTAGGACTATGGACCACAAATATAAATTTTGGCAGGGTAAGAGGCATCTTAAGCTAAGACAGCTTTATTTTTCTAACTGGATGGTTGGCCTTTAAAAGAGGTTGCCTTTGTATGACATGGATGCAAGACATTTAAAGGAATTTAACATTTTAAGGGAAGGCTTGATAAAAATTTGAATGATATGAGCCAGCTTTTAATGTTTTTATTATAAAAGTTTAATACAGTAGATGGGATGGCCTACATGACCAATCAGTTCCTTGTTGTCCTGAGTTTTATATTCATTTTGACAAGCAATGCCTGCTGATGAATAGAAGCAAAATTTGGAGTTTTCAATAAAATTTGGGAATAAATAATTTTGTGAAGGATCTTTCAAGTTTAATTGAAAAATAACTGGACAGTTTTAGGAGTTACTGATAACATGAAAATTAAATTCCAGTAAAGATAAGTATAAAAATAATGCACTTGAATGTTATAGGTATTACTGAGAAAGAAATGAATTAACTGATTGTTGATAAGTGCTTGAAAACTGCAGATGAAATTCATGGGTGTAAAATGAACTAACAGAAATCTGGGACCTACATATATTTTGAGATTGAGAAGAAGGCTATGAATAATTTAGTATGACAAACAATGAAGTCTCATTTACATGTAAGAGTACTATGTACAGTATTGGTCACCTGACTATGTGAAGAATATAAAACTTTTAAAAGAGTGCAAAGACAGACTACTAAAATGATACCTGCTTTAAACATGTGAGCTATAAAAGATTGATCTTTTTTTTTTATATGGAGTGTAGAAAAACTAGCACTAACTGAAATCAGCTGATCAAAATTGCAGTTGGCCTGGATAATCTTCCTGTGGATGTGTTGTTTTAAATGTCAACTGAATGGATTAGAAACTTCAACATTATAAGTAAAAAGTAAGCTAGAAGCTCAGATACAGACTTTTTCTTCTGTAGACTCGGAATAGTTTATCTGATTTGGCCTTTTCTGCTGTCTTCTACTTTTATTGGATATGGATGGGAAGTTTGTTTTTAGTGTTTTGGTTCAGTGGAATTTTCCATTTGCTTGATTTTTTTTATTTAGAGAAAAATCTATTGGCATTTTTTGAAAAATATGAAATTTTTTTATACTTGGAATAAGTATATAGTTTAATTATTTTATAGTTAACTAATATTCTGATTATTACTGTTTTCAATTATATTAATGAACTAAGTTATTGAAATATTGCTTTTATGATTTTTCATTATTATATTTGGTTAATTCTAAGTTGTTTAGCTTAATCAGTGAAGACATGTCTATATACTTTGATTTTTTTCATTTCCATTAACGTTAACGTACTACTGTGTGACTAACAAAGATTAATTAGAATATGAAGTTGGATTCTTATGGAATTTGTGTAAATACTTGGTATGAGTGAATGATAAACTAATTTGGGAATCGCTTTAATATTTATTAACTATTTGCATTAATAATTTTGATAGGCAGTTCCTACTGACACATGGCCAGGTGGTTAGGGTTCTCAACTCGCAATCTGCCGGTTGCAGGTTTGAATCCCTGTCCCACCAAACATGCTTGCCCTTTCAGCCATGGCGGCATTATAATGGAACGGTCAAGCCCACTATTCGTCAGTAAAAGAGTAGCCCAAGAATTAGCTTTGCGTGGTGTTGACTAGCTGCTTTCCCTTCAGCCCATCACTGCTAAATTAGGGACGGCTAGCACAGATAGCCCTTTTCTAGCTTTGCACAAACTTTCAAACAAACCAAACCAAGCCTTCTGACACAGAGAAGCAAAATGTGGTAAAATTTGGGTGTACACTCTAACCTCAGTTCTAAACAATCTGCTGTTATAGTTCCTAATCCACTGTTTAAAATGTAAAATGTTTATTATATGAAACAAAACTGATACTTAATAGTTTGTATCATGTTGGCATTTATCAGAATTTTACAAAATTATAATTTTACGTTGTTAGGTATATTTACTTTTTGTGTAATTTATGGTAGTATGGTACAAAGTTCACCTGAATAAAATTTGACAGTATGGTCACCATTACTTGTCAGTTTTACACATTGTACAGGGAAGATCGTGATAAATGTACACCTATAGTAGCTAGATAGATTTTCTTGGGGCTGTTAATTATTGAACTAGAAGCTTTTCAGATGTTTGGACATAAAGTACTAAACTTAATTTTACTGTTTTGATGGATGAGGGATGGCTTTGTTGGTCAAATGACCGACCATCTGTTACTTTGCTTTTTCTTATCTTTTTAAGTTTAATATTATTTATATGTTTACATGTACCTTTTGAAAGGTTTGGAGCACTTAATAATACAAGTTTGTTTTTGCTTGTCATTCCATATGACACAAAGTTTTTTCAAAAATAACTAAAGAAAATAATTAACTTGCCTTGCACAATATAATTATACAGTTTTCTTTTCTTTTGCTCATACTGCAGTTAAAAGATGGAATATTCAGGATCTGTCCTTGTAAATATTAAGTGATTTTAGATATTTTGAAGTTTGTTAAAATATCAAATTAAATAAACAATCAAGCTAAATCAGAGTTGGTTTTACCGTACATGACATGTTTAATCAATTCAAGATAGTACTGTATTTCAATAGGAAGAAATCACATAGGCTTAGATTGTTACCTATTGCTGTTATAATAACTTGTATAGATTTTCAATATTGTCACTAATATGATGTGTGTAAACTTGCATTATATTTATCATACTTTTACCAGAATGGAAAGAACAGAGAGGACATTGTGGATCTTCAGCCAAAGTTACTTCCTGGTGAAGCTATTGTACGACAGGCAAACAATGTGCTGAAGTTCAATAACATGAGCAACCATAAGACTGGGATATCGGGAGCCCTTATCTGTACAAATTTTAAACTGAGTTTTGTAACATTAGAAGACTACCCGTCCAATTTGGTTTGTATGCAGAATGATACGTATAGAACTGTATTGCTTTTTTTTTTTTTCAAACCCATGGGATTTTAGTAATTCAATAGATAAGAACAGTGCAATATAACTAGTATTTTGAATACCCAGGAAAAAGATTGTTCGTCTCTATTTGATAAGTAATTAAAAATAATAATAATCTTCAAACAAATTCTTTCCACTTCTCTTTATCTTGCTTATGTCAAATTGTTACATATAGCTATACAGTTGTGATTTCTCCCATAACAATATGTAAATAGTACTACAACACATCTTTAGCACTCTTGTACATAGTTTATGATGAATACCAAGTACATTCCCTGTCTAAATGTAATGACAATTTATCCAGTTAATCGTTAGGATATAAACAACTCCAGAAAGGTACTGAATAACTGGAGAATGTGTGTGTGTATTCTTTTAACTTAAGTATTGTACATGGTTCTCTGTTAAGTTAACTGCAGTATTTTACATAGTTCTCTGTTAAGTTGTTAACTGAAGTATTTTACATGGTTCTTTGTTAAGTTGTTAACTGAAGTATTTTACATGGTTCTTTGTTAAGTTGTTAATTGAAGTATTTTTCGTGGTTCTCTGTTGAGCTGTTAACTGAAATATTTTACGTGGTTCTCTGTTAAGTCAACTGCAGTATTTTACATGGTTCTTTGTTAAGTTGTTAACTGAAGTATTTTACATGGTTCTTTGTTAAGTTGTTAACTGAAGTATTTTACATTGTTCTTTGTTAAGTTGTTAACTGCAGTATTGTACATGGTTCTCTGTTAAGTTAACTGCAGTATTTTACATAGTTCTCTGTTAAGTTGTCTACTGAAGTATTTTAGATGGTTCTTTGTTAAGTTGTTAACTGCAGTATTTTACATAGTTCTCTGTTAAGTTGTTAACTGAAGTATTTTTTGTGGTTCTCTGTTAAGCTGTTAACTGAAATATTTTACGTGGTTCTCTGTAAACTATTTATGTTTGTTTATATAATGAATTCTACTACTACCAAACTCACTAGACTCTTAAAATATAAAAACAAAATTGTCAAGTCATTAAGTAATACATAAAATATTGCTTAATCTACAGTACACGTAGTTGTACAGTAATGAAAGACTAATACAGCTTTGTAACTTAAATAGCATATTGTTTTTGCTAAGATAAATGCCTCGAGTTTGCTAAAATAAATTGGAAGTTGTCTAACAAAATGTTTGAATATTTCTTAAATATAATGAAATTTGCTGGACATGCAGTTTACTTCTTCGAAACAGAAGAAACTTTTAATTGTTTTGTTAAAAGTATTGTACGTTGTTTGTGTAGTAATCAAAGGGGTTTTCAAGTAAACATCTTCATACTTATGAAATATCTTCATTTTATTCATGATCGTTTTTAATGGTTTAGTCATTAATATATGCCCATGGATAAGTTTATTTTGAAGTAAAACTTCAACTTAAGAATATGTGATAATAGTAATACAAAATTGACATTATGATTTCAGTACAACATAAAAGGTTATGCTTAGACTACAGTTAAACTTAACCAAAATAACCTTTACTTGTGATGTGATATAATGTCTTGGTAACAACCTAAACATTACTCTGTTAAAGATGAAGGCTTAATCATGCATCATGTCTAGCTGGGAAACTCGACAAAAATGGTACAAAGAGAGCCAATCTTACTTTCTTTATCAACGTTTTATTGCTGTTATTGTTTTAAGTTCAAGATTAGTATAATGTGTTTCATGTTAACACTTCAATTATTATTGGAAAAAAAAAGCTGACATAGCATTTTGATCATATCATTAGTATAGCTCAGTGTATTGATGTATTTCATATTCCAGAAAAAATCTTTCATTACCATTTTTTCAACAGAAACTTTGTTAAATCATCTAAATATTTAACAGTTGATTTTAAAAAAAATGTTGCAAACTGTGTTTTTACTGAAATTGTTTTAGATCTAATTAGCTTGGTTATATTATTCATTTTTATAATTTACTTTCCAGCGTTTACGAAACCTTTTACTTCAGGAAAATGATATCTGCCTGATGAACATTGAGTCTGTATACCAAGGTAAGTGATGAAGTTTGAAATGTTGATGTTTAGACAAGTTTCCAAGCTTCTCCAAGTTTCCAGAAAAATTGCTAAATATAAAAAAGTGTTCACTAACAATTCTTAGGTATTGTTATGAAAATGTGAAAAAGATTATGCAAGTTAAAAGAGATAGAAGTTATGTATATTATTAGCTGGAAGTATGGTTAATGTTTTGATCAGGTATCACGACTGAAACTAATTGTTGACTTTATTTTAGATTTGTACATGTACTGAGTTTTTAAAGTATTTCTGAATACCAGAAACCATCAATTAAATTCTCATGTTAACCCTTTCACTGCGGCTGGTAAATGTACGCTGAAACTAAATGTTGACTTTATTTTAGATTTGTACATGTACTGAGTTTTTAAAGTATTTCTGAATACCAGAAACCATCAATTAAATTCTCATGTTAACCCTTTCACTGCGGCTGGTAAATGTACGCTGAAACTAAATGTTGACTTTATTTTAGATTTGTACATGCACTGAGTTTTTAAAGTACTTGTGTGTACCAGAAACCATCAGTTAAATTCTCATGTTAACCCTTTCACTGCGACTGGGAAATGTCCGTCCCAGCCGCAGTTGTTGATAATTTTTGTAAATCAGTTGTGAGCATTATATAAGTTAGGAAACTGGAATTATCAATTAAAGAGACTATTGGGTTTTTTTCACATTATTGACTTTTAGCAAGGTTTTTACTTCTTAGTGGAGCCACTTGTGATTTTTACAGTTGGTAACTATGAAACAGTTTAAAAATAAGATCTTGGAGTTACTTGTATCAGGAAAATTAAAAAACACCACAAAAACTGTCTCTGTGTTAGTTTACACCTATAGTTAGTATTTCTATTATATGCTAAGCATATTAGGCAGTGCAGTGCTTTGGTTATCTCCCTGGTAAGTCTTGACCACGTAGGTAGATAATCTTTATCTCTGATAGTCTGGAGAGGCCTCACCATATAGCATACATTGTCTGGAGAGCATGTTTTCTTCTTGCTTCTGTAAATATATCACTTGTAAGGATTAGTAATATTTTTTCTGTAATGTTTTATTTTTCCCTTTGTTTTGTTTTCATCTTGTAATTAGGATATTAAAGCCACGTTTATTTCCCTTGCAAAGGTTTTTTAATTTAAATCTTTTGTTTGATCTTTTTTTTTCTCCTAATAAAATTTTATCCTAAGATTCAAAGCAAATTTTGATTCTATTTCAGAACAATTTAAATAGTCAGCCTTTAAAAAGAAACTTATAATGTTACACTTAGAAATTGGCTTTTTATGAGAAGATTTAGAATATCACTATAAGTATGGTGACTATAACAGTATGTGTATTTAACTATGACCACAACTTAATATAGGAATATATAATATACAGTGTGAAGCCTTCGGTTTTTATGGCATGTAAAAACCCGAGGCTTCACATTAACAACAGATCAGAAATATCGGTCACCATGTTTATTTAAGTTTTATCAGGAAGAAAAAAAAATTAGGATCAAACAAAAGATTTAAATTTAAAAAACTTTGCAAGGGAAATAAAATTGGCTTTAATATCCCAATATACAGTGTAAAGCCTCGGGTTTTTTACGGCATGTAAAAACCCGAGGCTTCACACTAACAACAGATCAGAAATATCGGTCATGTATATTTAGACTGTTGTAACTGCATGTATCTTAAGTTTTTGCTTTTCTTGTATCTTAAGTGGTTAACGGACGAAGGAAGAAAGTTGTTTCACCAGTTAATATATCTGGCGCAGTAGAGGTTGTTGAAATACATTGTAAGGTGAGTTCCTTAGTTCTTATACAGTGTATTAAAACAAGGCTGTAAAGTAAGTTCCCATTTCTTACATTGGATATAAATAAATAAAGACACTAAAAATCAACCAAGTTCTTTATGTAGTGGGTGAAATATCCTCTAATGTTTTTTTTTTTTCTCTTCAATTAAAGTTGTCAAAAATGTTTTGAGTGGAAATATGATGTAATCTCGTAACATAGGTAGTGGTTGTTTAAACACTGCAAAGCAAATACCTGATTTCTTAGTTTAGGGTGTCAAAATGCATTTTTAATTAAGTTTCTATCTACTTGCCAATGCTGAGGAATTAAATTTAATGTTTTTTGGGGGAGCTTACACCTCAAATTAAAATGTAGGTAATAGAGTTTTCAGATTATATATTTAACACCCAGCCTGAGAATCATTGAGACTGAATTCTGGAGGTTGAGTGGGCTACAGATTGATGTAATGGTTCCTGATATTCAAGTTAGGACCAAAAAAAATATTTAATGAGGGGCTTGATCCGTTAACCCCCAAAAACCACCTTTTGCTATTGCAAAAGAACTCGCCTGTCAATAGCATTTGGTCACAAAGATGTGGAGTTTTTGGGTTTGGTTGGACTGTGTTCCTCTTGCATGAAATAATAGAAGTGTTCATGTTCAGTCAGGTACTGTGCTTAACTATCTTACAGCAGTAAGTAATCTTCATTGAGCCTTTCTTGGCCATCTTTATTGACATAACATGCAAAAAACCACAAAGAAAACAGAATTATAGAGTTTAGGAACTACATCTTTTGTTGTACAATGTGCAGCCACTACTGTTTTTTGTGTGAGATTTTGAATTGTGATATGGTTTCTACTCCCTCTTAGCCCACCCCCCAGTGGCACAGCGGTATGTCTGCGGACTTACAACGCTAGAAACCGGGTTTCGATAACCTTGGTGGGCAGAGCACAGATAGCCCATTGTGTAGCTTTGTACTTAATTGCAAACAAACAAACCCTCTTAATCTAGAAATTAATAGGAATTTGGCCATTCTGGTGGACAATTCAGATTCTAAATATCACAAGGAGTTTCAAATCTCTATTCAAAATTAAAATAAAAAAGAGAGAGAGTGCCAGAAAGCTTTGTTTGGGAATCAGTCCACCAAACACTTGGACTCGCATACATATAAAAAATCTAAAGTAAATGTTTTAAACTGTTTACCTTTAACTGAAAATCCATACATTTACATATGTTTATCTAGTTTAGCCCACACAGGAATTCTAAAAACTGTCAAGGAACAGTATAATATACTTTTTTTCCAGCATTCTAGTAAATTATTTATAGAATGTATGTGTTTTCTAAGTGACATGACTTATTATTTGTTTCAATGTTTATTTTTGTAGAAATTGATAAATACAAGAATTTAACTATGTGTATGTGTGTAAATATTGAAAGTTAACTCTAATTCATGACTAATTTCCAGGTTTTTGTTCATAATATGTATGGCACATACCATTAGATATAACAGATGTATCTGTGCGATGCACAGCAAGAGATTTATGAAAGTACATAAGAATAAAATTATTTATGTTCGGTGGACGTGATTATTTAAATAACATTTTATTTTCTATTTTAGTTAGTTTTTTTTTTTTATCAAAAAGCAACAAGTAATTTAAAAACATCTCACTTGATACAAGTGTCTTTCTTGAAATTATGTATAAACAATGCGTGGAAAAGAAATCTCTCAAATGATTGATGGGATTTGAAAATGAAATTCAATTGTAAAGTTAATATTTTACCAGTTATGACTATAACTGATGTTTCTGGATCATTCCTAGTTGATTAAACCATATTTAACAGATCCAAATTCAAAATCCCAGAAGGAGTTGGAAGAAAGACAAGCAAACAAACTTCTCAAATTATAGTAACATTTAATAGATTATACATTAATTAGTAGGGAATTAAAACTAACTGATCGTAATCATACACCATGATGTACACTCGATGTGCCCAAATTGTGAAAATTGAGCTTTAACAGTGTTTCAGTTTTCAGCCATTAAAGCAGTCTTTAACTAAAATATATATGCTAACTGCAAAACCTTAGTTTTGTAGATTTCTATCATTTTTTATGTTGACCAGTTGTGAAGTTACTCAGATCTTTTTTTTTAATCATTTCTTTCAGGATTTAAGAGTATATACCTTCAGTTTCAAGTTTTGTTCACGTAGTGAACCTAAAGATGTAAGTTGTATCCTTTTCTAAGCTGGCTTTATTCAGTACTTATAGTAAGGTTGTGTCAATCAAATATTAATTATCATCGTGGTTAGTAGCCTATATAATCATCTTAATTACAAAATAGTTATCTTTCTTCTGTGACAGATTAAGAGTGGAAACATAGGATACAAACTAGTTAGTCATTATAATTAATAATCCTAGTCATAAGACATTGTTATTAGGCCTATTATATTTTTAACACTACATTCCTTATTCAGTCTGTTAGGGTTTTTTGAGAAGTAGAAGATTGTATAATAGCATACCATGTGTGTTTTTTTTTTCAAATAAAAAGAAAGATAAAATTTAGTTTTATAAAATAAAAACTTTATAAAACAGTTTGAAAATAATATAGAAAAAGAAAAATCAGTAATTAAAATCTACCACAATTTTAAGTATTTTTAATTGTTTCTTTAAAAAACATGTCACCAATGAAGTATTTTCAAAATTTCAAAGCTGCAAATTCTTAAAAACATCACATATAAAAAAATAAGATATTTTATATGCAGAAGCTTCGTAATTTTCAAACAAGTTTTGAAGTTTTAAACTAGTTCGTCCAATAAAATAAATCATACGACATACCATGCCTCATAGTTACTTCCAATCGTATTTGATGAGTGGTATCTCGTTATAACAGCATCTGTTAACATTGAAATACATAAGAAATCATTAACTAATAGGTTAAGGCCCAGCATGGCCAGGTGGTTAGGGCACTCGACTCGCAATCTGTGGGTCGCGAGTTTGAATCCCCGTGACGCCAAACATGCTCGCCCTTTCAGCCGTGGGGGGCGTTAGACGGTGAATCCAACTATTCGTTGGTAAAAGAGTAGCCCAAGAGTTGGCAGTGGGTAGTGATGACTAGCTGCCTTCCCTGTAGTCTTACACTGCTAAATTAGGGACGGCTAACGAAGATAGCCCTTGTGTAGCTTTGCGCGAAATTCAAAACAAACAAACAAACTAATAGGTTAATAACCAGCTGTTACTCTGTTACAATTATTACCATTTGCATCAAACAATCTGAATATTTGTAGTGCTCTATAATACAGATGTAGTGTTATGCCCAAAACAAGGGATATATTGTGTTAAATGTTGAAATTTATTCTCAGTTGGAATGTAAATATGGTTTTGTTTCTTTACTGCTCTTTAAGTATGATAATGTTAATATTTTTCTAGCTGCTGTATGCCATCCTACATCATCATTGTCCTTCATTAGCACAGCTGCTTTTTGCATTTGATTACTGTGGAGTAAAAGGTAATAGAAGTTTTACTTTATGTCTGTTTTATTTAAATGTCTTTAAGAATACACGTATTTAGTATTTTATATTATCATTAAAATTCCAAATTTTTTTCATCCTCTATGAAAAAATTTATGTATTTAATCATCTTGCCTCTGGCCATCTCCAGGCTTGTGACTAAATGGGTCAAAAGCCTTGATCCTCTTGTTGCAACACAGTTGAAGTAGGGTGATTTGTAAACGAGATGGCACTTAAAATTGGCCCCATCAAGGCTCAATATTAACTTTGATAATCTTCTGTCATGTAGGACAGTTGAAAGTCAATTTTTGCCTTTTCCAAGCAAAATGCTTCCTGTAGGCAGTATAATTTAATTTTTATTATCAGGGTCAATATAAATTATGTTGTGTGAAGGAATTTCATATTTAGATGAAGTGCTGATAATCTTTGGAAGTATGCTATCTTACTGGTAAAACAAATGCATGGGTACTTGATCAAAAATCTGATATCAGAATGTAACCAGGAGCGCACTGATTTTTTGTTTTCCTTCTCAAAATTACACTTTTATTATAGGCTCTCTGCAAATGGTGAAAAATGTAGCTAGAGAATGTCTTTCATAGCAAAATAGTTGGGGCTATTTTCTCTTTGCAGTTGTACATAATCTGTAATATCTCTCTGTGGAATATATCCTGCATTTTTCCATCATGGCATGCTTGAATGTGATTGGTGGAGTCAAAAGGGAGTTTATTAAGCCTGAACTCATGTTTGCCTCTCATTAGTTTAGTTTAGTCAAGCCTGCCTTCTGAAACATCACGATGCTTTAGACATTGCTACTCTTTGTTGATCCTCAAAAATCCCCTCGTCTCGCTGTACAGATTATGATACAACAGAAGCTTGAAAATACGATTTTGTTCAGGAAAGTAATCTCTCAGACCATCTTTATGTTGCATTATCTCCCAATGTGAGGATTACAGAGCACTTAAACCATCCTTGTGTTGCAATATCTTCTAATGTGAGGATTACAGAGCACTTAAACCATCTTTGTGTTGCATTATCTTCCAATGTGATGATTACAGAGCACTTAAACCATCTTTGTGTTGCAGTATCTTCCAATTGATGATTACAGAGCACTTAAACCATCCTTGTGTTGCAATATCTTCCAATGTGATGATTACAGAGCACTTAAACCATCTTTGTGTTGCAGTATCTTCCAATGTGATTATTACTGAGCACTTAAACCATCTTTATGTTGCAGTATTACCATTGTGATTATTACAGAGCACTTAAAATTGTCACACAGAAAGAATAAATCACCTACTTATCTAAATTTCGCCAGTTTGGGTAAATTCTGGTGGTACTACCCGTCATTTACAGCAGGGTCTTCACAAATTTCAGTCAAGCTTCCAAGACATTGCGCCAAACAAAAATGGTAGCACCTATGGTAAAATGAGATAGGAGAAAATAAGTTCAATTTCTGGGTGGGAAAGCATATAGAAAAAATTTACCTGCCTTATTGGGTAGGTAATGTACCAATTTTACCTGTCCAAAATTATTTTTTTCATGTCCTGGACAGGTGGACATTGTTAATGTGGAGCTCTATCCTTTTAAGAAGTTATAAAGAAGACTTTATGACACAAAATTTGCTTATTCCACAGTTATAAAAGTATACAAGGTATAAAATATTAGCATTTCAAAGAAAAAGATATCTGTAGTGTTGGACTGTATCAGTAAAGCAGAGGAAGAATGATGTAAACAGGGTAAAAACAGGTATATCCATAACTGGGTATCAGTTGCATACTGGAGGAAACTAAGTTTGTTAAACAGTTACCAGCAGGAACCCACGAAACAGCAGTCTTATTACAGCTGAAGTAGGAACCTAAGATCATTTATACAGATTTAAGCATACAAAAAACCTGTGAACTTCGGAAAACACATAAACAAGAAAGAACAACATTGAACATGGTATACCGTACAAAATTCTTTTGCAGTATGAAATGCAATGCAGAGAAATATTCCATAATTTAGGACAACATTATAACACCATTGGTATTAAAGAAGGAGCTGTAAAGCGTAGGTACTCATCATTATATCATTACCATAGGTTATCAACACTCCTCTATAAATAAGAGTGTAAAATTGTTCACATTTATATAGAAATTGAATTGTATAGGATAAGCAGACACCATTTATGAAATTTTGACTATATGTTAACCAGTATTTATCCTTCTTTATCTTAGTAGCCTAACAAACAAGTGTTTTAAATGCTCTTTAGAAATTTCGTTAATACATTTTTGTTGTTGCAGTAACAGAACATGGATGACTTTTTAATTTTTATTCCAGAGTACAATAAATTACTTTGAGATCTTGCTGTCCATTTATATTTTAGTACCACGTATTATCTTTAAAAATGACCAATGAGGTGTTATATTTTCTCCTTTGAAATCAGGAAGTTGTGGAGTTGGTACATTGTTTTTTGTTTGTATTTATAGGGAGTAGAGGGCTGGAAATATACATTTTGTTATATCTTCCATTCCTATATGTGGTATAATAAATTAAATTGTGTTTGATATACTGCAGTTATTGTTAAATTACTAAAAGTTCCAAACAGTATGCTGTGTTAACAAAGGTATGTAGTTGGTTTATGTTTTGTAACTAAATATTTTTGTAAGAATAAATCATCAGTTCTAAATTATTTGTATTTTTCAGAAGTAAAATCTGTTCATCCTACCTCTTCAAAATACACCATGATCCAGGATTGGGAAATGGAGCTAAAGAGATGTGGATGCTCTTCTTGGAGAGTTTCACTGTGGAATGAAAGTTTCAATGTTTGTGATAGGTAAGTTATGTGGTTTAAAACCCGCATGGTTGGAGATATGTGATAAATAGAATCATGTGAAGTAAATACAAAGTATACTGTTGTTGCTTTAGTTTTTTTATGCCTCCTTGAAGAATCGGTATCTAAGATATGTCAGGTATCTGAAGCCTGGTTGTTTTTAGAACCTTTTGGAAGTTAACATGCTATTTAGGATTAATTAAAGTATTATTTTCAAAGCAGCTATAGTTTCTTTTAATATATTAGAACTTCTTTGAACAAACAAAAACAAAAAACTTGGTTATATATCAAATATAAAATTATAAAGATAGTCTATATACATTATCCTACCTTGGCCAGTAGAAGATGACTTGAAAGGAGACTTATTCTGTGACTAATAGCTGTCATTGTGTCTGCACTTGGTGTTTGTTCTAACCATAGTAAAGTCTTGTCTTTATTCTTTATCGATAATTATTGTTGTCACTTAGTCACATATCTCTTGTGGTTTCCCAGCTTAGATACATCCATTATGTATCTTCAATTCTGATTTGTTTATGATTTAACTTTTAGGAATACACTTATAAAAACAAAACCTCTAAAAAACTATATTGCTTGTATAGACGTGTATTTAAAGATAGCATTTGTGATCGTTTTTTTTTAATATTTTCTTTATATTAGTTGCCTCTAGCTTTAAAATTTAATTGCAACATTGTAAAAGATTTAATTGTTTTTATTTTATAATAATATCCATTCTAAATTTATTCCTTTCATTAGGAGAGGGTAGGAGAGTTCTGTGTTAGGTATATTAGTGGTTTTGTCGAGGATGTAATCAGTGCAGAAGAGTATCATACGAAAAAGAAAACTAATTTCGGTACTTGTTTGATCTATTGTTTTCTTTTCCTTATTTTGTCATCTTTTTCAGTATGCTTGTTCACTTGTGCAATGAGTTATTCCACAAGCCTGTTGCCAGTGGTGTTTATTTGATATTGGAAATATATGTTTGTGAATGTTCAGAAGTTTTCAGTACAGATAAAATTTCTTGTTTCCACCTATAACTGTGTCAGAAGGAGAAAGTTAATGTATGTGAGCAGATCTCCCACTTTTATTCATGACCCTTAAGGTCAACTGACTCACTGGTACCAAAGTATTGAGATCATTACCTGTTATACAGAGTCAAATATAGAGTATTACTATTAAGTACATATGATGGTATACTATTTACTCAAGATAAGTTAATATTTATTAAAACATAAATTAAGTGTTTTGAATTGGTGACATTTTAATAATAAGGTACATTAACAACAGTGCAGTGAAAGTAAGGTATCAACAAATCACAAAAATATTCAGTATCACTTTTATTAGTAAATATAAATGTTAAACAACCATCATTTCCTTAAATCTGCAAAAATAATGTATAGAAATATTTATTGTCCATAAATGTCATTAGTGTTGTTTTTATAACAGAATAGAATAATTTAATTAAGAATAGATTTCATAACTTTAAATTTAAATGTTAACTCTTTTAAGCAAAATCTTTAAGTATATATGATTTGTTAATGATTAAGTCATTGCCTAAAAATGTACTTATTTTCGTACACTCGAGAATTATCATTCTCATGACACTAATAGGATGCTCAACTTGCAATTTGCAGTTCGTGGGTTCAAATCCCTGTCACTGAACATGCTCGCCTTTTCAGCTGTGGGGGAGTTATAATGTGACAATCAATTGCACTATTCGTTGGTAAAAGAGTATCCCAAGAGTTTGCTGTGGGTGGTGATGACTAGCTGCCTTCCCTCTAGTCTTTCACTGCTAAATTAGGGCCAGCTAACTCAGATAGCCCTCGTGTAGCTTTGCACAAAATTCAAAACAAGCTAAACATCACAAGAGGGAAAGTACTTTCATGATGATATTTGTTGGTGAACATACATAACTATTATCTTGGAAAACTGTGCATCAACTGACACTTTATAACAGATTTTTATGGGGTCATTTAAAACAATTGCACGTCTGTGGTTGAGTAAAAGTTGGGACCTATATATAATGTAGGCAAAATAATCTGTTGTATTTGGTGTCTTTTCTCATAAATTGTATTCAAACACCTTTTTTTTTCTCAGTCTTCCTGAAGCTTTTGTAGTTCCACCAGAAATATTTGGTAAAGATGTGAGCAAGTTGTCTCCTTTATACAACGGACAGAGGTTTCCGGTAAGTACTGTTTCATTTAAGAAGCTACTCTGATTTTGTATGAATCATGACGTGTTCTTGTGGTATTACATTTTGGATTACTACTAGTCCAAAAAACACTTAAACTCACTGCGATAAATTATTTGAAATTGAATTACGAGCAGTAAATGTAAAAAAATTTACATTATATTGACTTAAATCAGATTTAGCTATATACAGTGAATGGATAATTTGATTTATATCATGAGAAAAATCTTATTTTCGTTTTTATTTTTTAATTGTAACAATTTTACTTTAGTTAATTGGTATTGGCTTAATCGTGTTATTTTGTAGTGTTATACCTATAAATGTAAAGAAAAGATTTCAAATCACTTGGCTTCACTTTCTTTTTATTATTTATACATACATTCATATGCACATGTTGCCTAATGTTTGAAATTCATTTTTTCTTTTCTTTTTTTTTTCAAAGATGTTGGAGAATCTGTGCACCACTAGATGGCAGCACACACAAAAACTCTTTAAGTAACCAAATCGGAAGTTATTCATGATATTTTGTTTACATGTGACTTGACACCAAATTTGATTAATTTTTATTAAAAGTTAAAAAAGCGAAGTTTATATCATAACAGGCATGGATTGTTGCAAGCCAGAATGTACCAGTAGTGGTGGGCATTTGTTTCCATCAAGTAAATGAAGGGAAGCATTGAATCTTACAATCTGAAGGTTGAAATTAGTAAAGCTGAATAAATGGCCTTGGGAACTGAAAAAGAAGTGTTATTTGCTAATCTAATTTTGACTAAGGAGATTTCATACCAAATCCTAAGCATTTCTGATCTTTTCAATATACAATAATCTACATTTATCAGTATGTGAGCTTTGTGATTGGTATAAAATTTACCAATCCCATTTGTTTGTATATGTGTACTTTATTTTAACTTTATAATAGTTCAAATTGCCTTTGAGACTATCAAATTTGGCTATAGCAAACTGGGATGTTATTCAAAAACAGTAGTAACACACCAGCATAATAATACACAAATGATTAAAGAATTAGCAAAACATACAAAAAACCCAACCAGCTTCAAAAGGTGAAGTTTGTCATTCTAAAAGAATAAGATAAAATTGTTCTTATTGTCTTGTACATCAAGGTTCAAAACATCTGTAGAGTAATCGAGGTTCACTTACAGCAGTATAGTGCAAAAACTAATTTGAATAAAATTACTTGCAAATAGGGCTGAGTACAAATTCCATTTCATTGATAGAAGAATTTGGGTTCTGTAATGATTTTTAATTTATTGAAATTAATTTTATGGTTGGTTGTTTGATCGTGTGACTCTGAAGCTTATTGTTCAACTTCCTTTCGAGGACAGTGACCATGCTCCTTTATTCTAACTGAAAGAGATTTTGTTTGACCAATTTAAACATAATTACAAAAATAACTAATTTAATAAATACCCTGTCTGTAGTGAGCTTCTGTCTTATTTTTCCCTTTGTTATATTTGTTTGAAAGTCTGTTCCTTGGCCTATACACTAGCTTAGTTTTATTTTTAAAACAATGCCTATTTTGCTTGATATTGTAGATAAGTACCATTTCATAGTCTGTCTGGATTTGATTTTTTACTAAGCTTTTTAATTTTGTTGAAAGAGTTAGTTACTTAGTTTTGGATGGCCAGGTGGTTAGGGTGCTTGACTCACAATCTGTGGGTCGCAAGTTTGAATCCCCGTCACACCAAACATGCTCACCCTTTCAACCATGGGGCATTATAATGTGACGATCAATCCCACTATTTGTTGGTAAAAGAGTAGCCCAAGAGTTGGTGGTGGGTGGTGTTGACCGGCTGCCTTCCCTCTAGTCTTATACTGCTAAATTAGGGACAGCTAGTACAGATAGCTCTCATGTAGCTTTGCACAAAATTCAAAACAAACAAACAAAGTTTAGTTTCAATCTTCAGCAAATAAGAAACATTTTTGAGGTATTTCAAATTCATCATGAATGCCCTTTTTGTAGGAACAAATGTTCAACATTGGACAAGAGTTTTGCATACACCGATGTTCTGAGAATAATGATTTCTGTGTTTGTTGTGTGGAAATAGGCTCACACTTTCTGGTTTTTTAAAGATGTCTGGGCGTAACTTGCAATCTGTACATCGCGTAACTTACTTCTAAAAGTGAATTGTATGTCTGGAAGTGTTTGTTACTAACTTGATAAACAGAAAAGTAAAAGACAAATGTGTGGTGTTCTTTAACATAAAAAGCTTATTCACCAAAGTCCCAATAGATGGAACCTTAAATACATTATCTAAGAGATTGAATGAAGTTTTACCTTGTCTACTGTCAGAGAGGAACTTCTACACCTAATTAAAGTATATGTCAGCAACTCGTATTCCCAGTTCAATATGGATTTTTTTTTTCAATAAAATCATGGCCTGAGGATGTCCAATCTAGTATCACCTCTTCTTTATGACATCTTCATAGATGATTTTGAAAATAATATCTTCACTGAATTGGATGAAAAAGCTGATCTCTATGTTACGATATGTTGATGACATGTTCACTTTATTTCCCGATTGTAACAACTACGTTAAACAGTTTCACGAAGAGTTAAACTCAGTTCATCCACGCATAAATTCACTTATGAACTAGAGTGTAATGACTAGGTAGAGTTTCTTGCTTGATGTTTTAGCTACATGATGTTCACATGACAATCTACGCATAGACATCTGTTTCGTCACAAGAAATATAGAAAACCTTATTCTAAGGATATTGTTTTATACAAAAATTATTTGATACGTGTTAAACATTTGTTCTGGCAAAAAATATAATGGCATTCATGATTAACTTCCTCAAAAATGTTGCTATTTCCCATGAAGTTAAATCAAACTTAATTTGTTCAACAAAATTAAAAAGCTTTGTAACAATGTGAACCTAATAACTACAGATAGATTAACTGGTGACCCTTATCTAATGATAGCCTACAACCCCCTTGATATCAAACAAAACAATTTTATTTATATAATGGAATAAAATTATATCAAACAAGCTTGTAAGCAAGTGAACAAAATTTCAAATAAATTTAAAGGGATATATATATAAGACAGGAGCCAACTACACACAGACTAATTATTTCATTCCTTGTTTTCATGCTTATCTTGGTAAAAAAAATTATGTCTCTCAACTGGAGTAAAGAAACATGGAGGCTACCGTCATAAGAAGGAAACTTAAAAAAATGGCTTTTAGTAATACATGTTCACACACCACCAGTCACAAAATTAATTTATATCAATCAACGGTCATTGCAGAACTTAAATTCTTCCGTCAACTCAACACAAGAGAATTGGTAGAAATGCTTAACAATGAAATGGGATTTAAACTCAACCCTAGTTGAATAATTTTTTTTTTTAAATTAGATTTTGTACTCTACTGATAGTGAACTTTGACTCTTATGGGAATATCCTGGACATACAGGATGCTTAGAAAAGTTTTACTACACCTCTTGAGAATTACAAGCTTTGCCTGTTGAAACTAGTTGGTTTTTTTTTGTATGTTTTGTTAATTATTTAATCATTCCTGCTTTATTATGCATGGTATGTTATTATTGCTTTTTGTGAATTTGGGATGTTCTTGTGGCATGAAATCACATAAAATGTCACGCATTGTATAAGTTGGTTTAGAATATAAATGATTCTGTCACATAAACTTAAAATTCTTCTCGTAAGTTTATTTTTCAAGTTCTTCCTTTCCAGGAAAAACAGGAACACCTTCTCTTGTGAAATATGCGAGGTCTTTTCACTTGTTTTCTTTTAATCAGAAAATGAAGACACAGTTTAATGTATTTTGAAGTGTGATACAATTATACCAGAGTGCAATTGAATTGTTTTTGACCATATTTCAAAAACAGTTTTATCACTTATATCAATATTGTGTTTTGTATAACACAAAATACACCATAAATTTATGTAAGGTAATTATAATGAGTCTTTTTTTACTGTAGGTCACCAAATGATAAAACCACATTTTTTTATCATCTTATAACAAGTCCAGTGGCAGGTTAATGTACTTACAGTGCTAAAATCCAGGGTTCGTTCCCCCACGGTGGTGAGGAACAAATAGCCCAATGTGTGTATCTTTGTTATAAGGTTAACTAACTAACTAAAAGTAATTTTGACTGTAATTTTTGAATGGGATAAAAAACTTTATAAAGCTGATACTTCTGGTTATTCAAACGATCTCACATTTCAATGTATGTTAAAAGTACACAGAAAAGAGTTCACCAATAATATCTATTTATTTGTAAACTATTGCCTGGTAAATGAAACAAATTGAAGAGATTACAGATATTATGACACTGAAAGAGATGAGTAGAATAGAAGCTAAAACTACTGGAAGAAAGAAGTACATGATTCAAAAGTGAGTGAGAAACAAAATTTTCATGTTCTACAAGTTTCATTTTTCTCTATTGTTATTATTTTTTGGATACTCTCATAAGTTGTATATTTTTACTGCATGATACATTAAAAAAAATAAGATATAAATAATAATAACAAAATTACTGTTATGTATTTCTGCATGTTTAAACATTCTCAAATTGCCATCTGTTGAAACTGTATTGTTCCCTATTACTTTATTATGTGATTTTTATGCTAATCGGCCCTTATCTGTAGATTCGAGTAATTTGGGGGAAAATAAATGTTTTAAAAAGTTATGTTTTGTTTTCACTTTAATGTTGAGGTTGTTTGGAAGAGCTCCCAGTGTCTCATAAGTTCATTATTTTTTGAAAGTTAATAGTGTGAAGGTGTTTTTTTTCCACTTTTACTATCACCTGTGTGTTTTAGTTGATGTTACACGTTTTCAAATGGCAAATAGTGACTATTAGATATCTGCAAATAGAAATTCTGTGATATTATTCATGTACGACTGACCAACGTCACATTTCCCTTGGACAGAAGTTGATGTATTCTCTTCATATCTTTTTTTTTTTCAGTTGTTACTATAATGGTGCACACTGTGTTTGTTTGTTTTATAGATTTGGAGTTGGGGTATGCCACATGGAAATGTGCTTATTCGTTCTTCGGCTGTTTATGATCCACAAAATCTGAGGTATAAATCGTGGTCTCTTCCAGAGTCCAGAGCTCTCTTATTTTGTTTGATAGACAATATGATCACTTTGTAATTATTAATATATCCATTATGTTGTAGTAGATGTGAAATTTACTGACAATTTTGTACTGAAGATTTAGTTTAATGTACACTTTCTGCAAAATTGAGGGACTTACAGATGTAGTTTTTAACGCTTGTTTAATTATGATTTTGATAAAACATTTTTTAAGCTACTTGTTAATTTTTTTTAAATATTGTCCCATTAAACATGTTTTCAAACAATCAACGAATCCTACTGTGAAAATTTTACATTAATGTTTTACTTATTTTACAAAGGAGTAGCTCTGTACAGTGAAGTTTGAGCAATTTGAGTCAAACTCAAAAGCATGAAAGGAATTACTGATACCAATGCACCTGATTCTGTATTTATAGGAACTACTGTGAAACAATAATAGTTAGGCTGCATTCTTTGGATACCCTGAATGAATCAAAATATTGAATGATAATCGTTTGAAGCTATTATGTATGTAGGTTGGAGACTATTAGATTTACCCAAAGTTTTAGGATTTCTTCAGAACTTCAATGATTTACAAAGACTTTCGTATACCTCCTTTAAAAGTATAACAATTGCTTCAAAGATTATTTACTGAAAATTGAAACCTTACAACCAACGTATAGTTAAACTTCATGTGTATTGTAACTCCCATTACATGGATTACAACAAAAAATGTTAAATTCTTCATTTTGTTTTAAAGATTACTTATTACTGAAATTGTGTCACTATCACTTAATTTTAACAAGGGTTGACACGTTAGATACATTACATAAAGAGAAGAGCTTGAGAGTAATGTGTGTGTTTGACATCCAGAGTAAAATTTGAACTTATGATAGTTTTGTGTGTTAAAAAAAGAAATTATGACATTTAATGCCAAAATATCGCGGCTCACCTGGATCATCAAAAAAATGTCAATGTGTTAAAATGTGAGAGTTTAGAATACACTGATGTGTATATTTGTAGAAAATAACAAATTACATTTATATTATTGTAAAGAAACTTATTTTCTCAGTCTGTCTTACTTATTTTACATATTTTGTCTTTTGAAGTCGAAAACTTACAGAGGCTATAAAAAAGGCAATTCCACAACATGGAGGCCTACACTTTTTAAATTTAGATAATGTGTGTCCATCAGTTCGAGACATTCAGAGTAGTTACAGTAAATTACAAGAAATCTGTAAACCAGGTAAGGTTTTGAAAATATGTGTTTTATGCTTTAATCAGTTGCTTTTCATTGTTTTTGTTTAGTTTCGCAATAAACTATGATCACAACCCTCATTCACAAATTCATGATACGAAGGTCTTCAAATTGGGGGTAAAAGGTTAACAAATGTTTTATAATCTAAGTAAAAGTTCTTGTAGGAATTTCTTTTATTATTCTCCATGTTTTAAACAGTCCTTAGAATTTTTAGAAAATTTTTAAGACTCCTTGAAAAGAAATACAATGAATAGGCTAAATTTAAGTAAGGTAATTCAAACTTCCAATCAAATTATCTAAGACAGACGTATAAATAAACAAAAGTTAAGAGTTTATTGCTGTTTTGTATATAGACAGGTAGTTCTTACAGCAAAAATACTCGTTTTTTCCAAGAATATTCAATGCATTGTTATAGAAGCAGGTTTAAGTAGTTTTAAAACTTTAACTTTAAAAAATAATAATCAAAAACACTATTTTTTAATAAATTGCATTTTAAAAACAGTCTAAAATTAAAGATTTTTGATTTAAATTGTTAAAGTTTTCATGAATTAGTTTTTATATAATGATAGAATAAATTTTTTTGTATTATCAGTAATTTTTACCCCCTCCCCACTGAAAATGTAAAGAAGAGGATATAGTAATGATGTGTAGACATTTACTTTCTGTACAGTACTGTTCAAAGCAGCAGGTTTTAATCAAACTTCACAGGTCACTTCCCTGGAGTATGGGAAGAACCCTATTGATATTGATTTTGGGGGTAAAAGTTCAAGGTCACCATATGAAGAAATACAAAATTGGTTTCTGCTTGATAACTAGAACTCTAAAGAGCAGGTTTTAATCAAACTTCACATGTTACTTTCTTTGAGGTTGGGGAAAAACCCCCCATTGTTTTATTGGTTAAAGGTCAAGGTCACGATTTCAAGAAATAAAAACTTGGATTCTGTTACAAAAAACACAATCAACAACAACAAAATACACTTACACAAGCACACTATACGTATCAACAGATTAAAAATAAAGCTAAATATCAACCATTAGAGAATCAACTATTCTACTGACAGATATTTTTTTAATAATTGGAAAATATTTTACCTTATTTCACATCATCCTTCATATATAACAATGTTTGTGAATGATTTTTTTTTAATGTGATTAAACAATTTAGGGGGTAAAATTTAGTACACATGCCTAATCTTTTGACAGAAAATGTACACAGTTACTGGAAGCTCGAATCAACGTATCTCAGCTCCATTGAGTCTACACATTGGTTTCACCATCTGTCAGCCTGTTTGAACATCTCTCTGAAAATTGCTGAATGCATGAGTATTAGGAAAGATTCAGTGGTCATTACAGGTGAGATTTAATGCATTCTCTACTTAAATAGCTGGTGTCAAAGTTATTTTGTCAAAAGAGTGGTGACTGTAATTTGATATAACTCTTTTTTTCTGTTATTAAGTTTGAATTCTAAAGACAGAGACATTCGTGAGATTTTTTAGTTGTTGTAAGATATCTAATGTTTATAACAATAAGATCAAAATTTTAAAAATTTAATTTTTTATACATTTACACCAATTTCCTATATGTTCTTATTCAAAGCAGGTGGTCATCTAATCCATTGAAAAATGTATTTGAATCAGATACAAGTTGGATAAAAAACAGATTTTCAAAAGGCAACATTAAAAACTTAATGCTCAAAAGTAATATATTTAATTTTTATACTTTTGTTTTCTCTGAAAGAAAGAATTTTTTTATTGTTATTTTAGTTTAGTGAAGAATTTTAATGTAGAAATAACATTTATGCTTAATCTCTGTCTTCCTTAAATTCAGCAAATCAAAGTGTAACAAATAAATGATGAATGGTGAGTTCAACAAAGATGCTTGAAATCAAACAGTTATTAGCCATTTCAAAATTGTGTCATCAATGTTAGACTATAAATTGCATGTTATTTTTTCCCCAATATTTTGGTACTTAGAAATGCAGTGTCTTGTACATATACAAATCAATATCCTTCAGTTTTTTGTATTTGTCTTTTACTCATAACAATGAACCTATATTTATGTAGAATTTGAGGAATATATAGCATTGATGCTACAAATTTATTTTTTGAATTATTTAGCAGATGTACTTGTTTTCAGTAGCAACAAACAGTTTTACGTTTTCATTTCTTATTCAGCTAGTAAAAGCCACACTACCAGAATTAATTTATTCAGCAGTGTTTGTGTTTTATTAAAAAAGTATGTATTGTGTTTACTATCTTATATTCCATTGTTATTCATAGGAGTTTATCAAGGTACAACTTTGACTCAGTAACTCCATATACATGCCAAGGTTAACCTGAAACACTAATCTTTCTTGGTGGAATATTTACTTGCTCTGAAACCCTCTTTTGATTCAATGTTCTTTAAATAATAGGTACACATATTTTAAAGTAAACTTAATATTATAACATCTTAACACACCATCACAAACAGTGACAAATATTAGTTTGTAGTTTAAAACTTTTTTTTAATTACTTTCTAGATGTTTAAAAAAGTATCTTTTTTTTCTCTTACTTAACATTAGTTGTTTTTAA